TTTTGTTTGTTGTTGTTTTTTTTTTTTTTTTGTTTTTTTTTTTTTTGCTTGTAGTTGTTTCTATTTTATTTTGGTTGTTGTTTTTGCTTGTAGTTGTTTCTATTTTATTTTGGTTGTTGTTTTTGCTTGTAGTTGTTTCTATTTTATTTTGGTTGTTGTTTTTGCTTGTAATTGTTTCTATTTTATTTTGCATGTTTATTCTTTTTAAATATCTTCTATTTACTAAATAACTGTTTTTTTTAAATAGCCTATAGTGTTATTGAAAGAATAGCAAAATTTATTTTAATATAGTTTTGCAGTAATCAACTCCATATGTTCAGTTATTTTCAACTCCATCATTTGTTCTGGATAAAACTGTTTACTTTTTTACTTCACCCTGCTCTAGTCTCCATTCACAGCTATGTTCTTGACTTCCAACTCTATTGTTCACTTCCAACTCTAGTCTCAACTACAAACTCTAGCCTCAACTATCAACTTTAGAATTGACCACAAATTCTAGATTCGGCTTCAAACTCTATTTTCCACTCCCAACACTAGTCTGTATTATCAACTCTAATCTCGACTTTATAGTTTTAAACTTTAAATGGTCTACCCCATCACAACTTGGGGCTCCTGACATATCCAAGGCCTCCTGCAAACCGCAGAGGTTAAAGGGCCCACGTTATGGCTCTGATTGTCACGAAAGCATTAGCCCCCCCCCCCCCTTACTCCTGAATCTACTTTTGCATCGCTAAAAAATAAAATTCCAAATGACGTCATTCTTCAAGTTGAAACCTCTAAACACATTGCTATGCGGAATTTTCAATCTCTATCGGCTTTATGCTTGAAACGAAAAGAGGAAAAAAATGGGAAGAATATAGAGACTAAGATTTTAGGCTGTCTTCATGTTATACTGTTAGTGTAAGCCTCATTACGAATGAGCTCCGATGTGTCGACATATGGGGTGAACCAACAAAAACAGAGGTCACCCATCAATTTTACATACCAGACACCCTTCTGAATCCAGCTTCTCAAAAGGCTGAGATGTCAAATTAATAGCTCACTGGGAAATAGCCAATCATTTTATTTCATTGTCAAATAGGCGACCAGTTGAAATATAATACAACACTTTATTTAATAAAGAAAAAAAATTGAACAAATTATAGTTAGTGGGATGAATGGGCCTGATGCTCGATTAAATTTTCTGAAATCATGGAATCAACAAAGGCACCCTCAAACTGGACACAGCCACCCTCAAACTGGACACAGACACCCTCAAACTGGACAAAGTAACCCCCAAACTGGGCAAAGCCACCCTCAAACTGAACACATGCAACCACAAACTGAACACATGCAACCACAAACTGAACACATGCAACCACAAACTGAACACATGCAACCACAAACTGAACACATGCAACCACAAACTGAACACATGCAACCACAAACTGAACACATGCAACCACAAACTGAACACATGCAACCACAAACTGAACACATGCAACCACAAACTGAACACATGCAACCACAAACTGAACACATGCCACCACAAACTGAACACATGCAACCACAAACTGAACATATCCATCTCATTTCCTTTTTATTTTAGTATTGATTCTCCCGCTATATTTCCTATGACAGCGACTGCCGACAACCAAACTTAACACAAAGAAGGAAATGCAAATCATTTGTAGATTCTTCTGCAAACAAATATTACTAGTGCACCAGATGTCACGCTAGATGTCACGTTTAATGACATCAAATAGAAGGGTGTATTGCAAATGAAGACGCATTTGTGAGAACCACTGCCAAAAATGAGCACTGGTAAATCCAACACTCGGGTGACAATATGCGATGGTTATAGCAACAACAACAACAAAGTGATCGGCTCCTCCTGAGCAAGCCGCGCACCTCGTCATTGTTGCCGCGCACCTCGTCATTGTTGCCGCGCACCTCGTCATTGTTATCACTGTCCTGGCTGACCGGTACCCCAGGGCTACACCTGTCATCGCAAACAACGCCGATCATGCCCGTTATCGGCGCTTACGTCCTACATAATTACTGAGCTGGCTCCGTGCACTTTGACAGGGATATAAAGCCATCGCTAGTCTTCTAATCCGGGGATTCATTACACGAGGTAAGACTTGAGCACTTTTACAGGGATATGAAGTCATTTGAATTCTTCTAAGCCGGTGATACATTACACGAGGTAAGACTTGAGCACTTTGACACGGATATGAAGTCATTTGAATTCTTCTAAGCCAGTGATACATTTCACGAGGTAAGACTTGAGCACTTTGACAGGGATATGAAGTCATTTGAATTCTTCTGAGCCGGTGATACATTACACGAGGTAAGACTTGAGCACTTTGACAGGGATATGAAGTCATTTGAAGTCTTCTGAGCCGGTGATACATTACACGAGGTAAGACTTGAGCACTTTGACAGGGATATGAAGTCATTTGAAGTCTTCTGAGCCGGTGATACATTTCACGAGGTAAGACTTGAGCACTTTGACACGGATATGAAGTCATTTGAATTCTTCTGAGCCGGTGATACAATTCACGAGGTAAGACTTGAGCACTTTGACAGGGATATGAAGTCATTTGAATTCTTCTAAGCCGGTGATACATTTCACGAGGTAAGACTTGAGCACAGTGACTGCAGTGAGCATGGGGCAAAGGGAGTTGTGCTCAAATGTTTTAACAAATACTTTAGTTTTGGATGCTAACACTCTGTTTGATATGTTTGCCAACAGTATGGTGGATGTGTTTGATAACAGTATGTTGGATGTGTGCAACATTCATCATCATCCTGTCCTTTAGTCCTTTTGGCGCGCCACAGATGACATGAAAACTATCCTTCTCCATTCCTCCCTGTTTTCTGAACTTCGCACAGCATCGCATAGTTTTAGTCCGTTATCTTCCCATCTTTTTTCTCTGTCTTCCTCTTCTTCTCCCTCCTCTCATATTGTCCTGCATGATTTCTTTGGCGAGCCCTTGTTTTCTTGTCACTAGGCCATACCATTTCAGTTTTCGCTTTTTTACAGTTCCCAGGAAATCATCATACTGCCCAATTGCTTGGCGAATCCTTTCTTTCACCTGTTCATTGGATATATGGTCTCTATAGCAAATTCCAAGAATGCTTCTGAAACATCTCACATCTATCACCTTTAATTTCTTTCAAGTTCTGCTTTATCCAGGACTCACAGGCATAAAAGAAAAGGAGAGGACTTATGAGCGCATTAGACTGATTTCGGTGCTGGAGTCCTCGACATCAGTTCGTGCTTGAAGCCTTCTTCCGAGACTATTGCCCGAGACTATTGCTCTTAGGTACTACTGCCTGCTGTCTCTAATCTTTCATCCCCGACCGTAATTTCAGTGGCGATGCCCTTGGTGTTATTCGTCATCAATTTTGTCTTCTCTGCACTGGTTTGCTTGCCAAAAAAACGATAAAGTCTTGTCGAGACGCTTTACCAGGTCGGCTAGCTCTTCTTCGTTCCCAGCCAGTCCATCTATGCCATCTGCAAAGCGTAGGTTGGTGATTGTTCTGCTACCAATGCTGACTGTCCATTCATGCGCTTCCAGAGCATCTGACATAATTCTCTCTAAGAAGATGTTGAACAGGGTGGGGGAGAGCAGGCAGCCTTGTCGTACTCGAACCGTTGTCTTTAACCATTCTCCGATGTTATTGTTCAAGAAGACCGGTGGCCTTATCATAGAGGCTGCATATCATTCTGGTTAGGTCTGTGTTGATGTTGTAGTGCCTCATGGTGGCCCATAAAGCAGCATGCAAATAGGTTTTTTGGTACATATTAAGCATATTTCTCACATAGTATTCGGGCTTGGAGCTTTGTTATTTTTTAGCGTAATTGAACCATTAGGTTCTGCATTGTAAGAAAGAGCACATTATAATTGATGCATCTATTTCAAGACAACAAAATCATACTTCGTCATTAAACGCATTTTGTGTGGACATATAGATAGAGATAGAGATAGAGATAGAGATCTAAAGATACACGTTTACTTGCAGCATTTAATATGTGCATCCCTTAGTTTAAACTTAGAATAAATACACGTTTAGACAAAGAACTATAAAGTCTAATTCATATCTTTTCTTTATTTTTAAAAAAAAAATGAATTCAACATTCTTTCTCCTCATTTACAAATTCTCCATTCTCAAACGTGCTGTTGGTGTACATTTTAGTACAGCGTTGGAGACAGCGTCACGTTTCATTTACACTGGAATTTGAAAGTACATGAAATTTCATTTGGGATGTCTATCTGTGCCTATGAAATAATTTTAATTTTTGATCACATTTTTACATGTGATGGAGTCAAAGGTCTTCCTAAGACACCAAACTTAGAGTCAATGGATTTCATGAAAAAGCAAACGTAGGTCCATGAAAAGTCAGACAGCGTAATTGAATCCATGGATTTTAACTGCATGGAGTCTATCCATTCAATAACATCAACTAGGTTGCAAAGACTTCATCAAACAGCAACTGTCGTGGATATTAAATGTGTTCAACAAATAAAATTTAAATTAGCTAATTTGTTGTTTTTAAGATATATTTTAAATGTCTTTATATCTCTTTCTATTTGTCAATCTCTCTCTCTCTCTCTCTCTCTCTCTCTCTCTCCCTCTCCCTCTCTCTCTCTCTCTTCTCCTCTCTGGTATTACATTTCTTGATTTCATAATAATATACCATCTTATATTTGAACGTTTACACTCTCATCCATATGTACTCAAGTAGCAAACATGGACGGAGAAGCCATCTTTATATTAAATGTGTTCAACAAATAAAATTTAAATTAGCTATTTTTTTGTTTTTAAGATATATTTTAAATGTCTTTATATCTCTTTCTATTTGTCAATCTCTCTCTCTCTCTCTCTCTCTCTCTCTCTCCCTCTCCCTCTCTCTCTCTCTCTTCTCCTCTCTGGTATTACATTTCTTGATTTCATAATAATATACCATCTTATATTTGAACGTTTAAACTCTCATCCATATGTACTCAAGTAGCAAACATGGACGGAGAAGCCATCTTATTGCCAGCTGCAAATATTTCAAAAGAAGATGACGTCATCGGAGAAATCCCGACAACATTTTTCGTCACTATTTTCACGTGAGCAAAGCCTCAGGGGCAGATAACTTAATCTCAGGGGTAGATAACTTAATCTCAGGGGTAGATAACTTAATCTCAGGGGCAGATAACTTAATCTCAGGGGTAGATAACTTAATCTCAGGGGTAGATAACTTAATCTCAGGGGTAGATAACTTAATCTCAGGGGCAGATAACTTAATCTCAGGGGTAGATAACTTAATCTCAGGGGCAGATAACTTAATCTCAGGGGCAGATAACTTAATCTCAGGGGTAGATAACTTAATCTCAGGGGCAGATAACTTAATCTCAGGGGTAGATAACTTAATCTCAGGGGTAGATAACTTAATCTCAGGGGTAGATAACTTAATCTCAGGGGTAGATAACTTAATCTCAGGGGTAGATAACTTAATCTCAGGGGTATAAAACTTAATCTCAGGGGTATAAAACTTAATCTCAGGGGTATATAACTTAATCTCAGGGGTAGAGAACTTAATCTCAGGGGTATAGAACTCAATCTCAGGGGTATATAACTTATACTCAGGGGCAGATAACTTAATCTCAGGGGTATATAACTTAATCTCAGGGGTATATAACTTAATCTCAAGGGTATATAACTTAATCTCAGGGTTATATAACTTAATCTCAGGGGTAAATAAAATAATCTGAGGAGTATATAACTTAATCTCAGGGGTATATAACTTAATATCAGGGGTATACAACTTAATCTCAGGGGAATATAACTTAATCTCAGGGGTATATAACTGAATCTCAGGGGTAGATAACTTAATCTCAGGGGTATATAACTTAATCTCAGGGTTATTTATTTCAATCTCGGTGGAATATAACTTAATCTTAGGGTTTATAACTTAATCTCAGGGGTATATTACTTAATCTCAAGGGTATATTACTTAATCTCAGGGGTATAATACTTATGTTTCTTATTTTTTCCATATCAAACTTGTAGTTTCCCCTTAAATATCAGTAGCTTGTATCATATAATTGCCATACGTTATTTCTGTCTCCTGGCAGCCACTCGCATTAGTCGAATCCTGTTTTGTTGAGGAACAGTGGTAATTTCTTGTGCATTGTCGGTGCTGTTAAACTTTCTATATCAACATGACATGTGATGCAAAATAAATGTTACAGATTTTGCAAATCCGCTCAAGCAGCCATGTTACTAATGTTACTCACTTTACTTACCCTTAATTCTCAAAATATCGTATTCCTATTCTATTAATACCACTTATCTTGACCGCACATGTCTCTTAAACCTTGTCCTTATTCCATACCTGCAACATGACCGCAAACATACTGCCCTAGTTATTGGCGACCAACAGAATGTACAGGCGAAGAGAGGCCAACTTTTGAATTCTCTTGCATTAATTAAATGTGCTAAAATTCTGACCAGCCATCAAGACTAATTATCTGCAGAAGCGATATTGAGCACGAAACTCTTGAATGGCCGCTCACAAGACCAGCCATCAGCAGTGAACAGACAGACACACATTCAATAAATCGTATAGTGTTAAAAGTCTAAAAATTATAATATAACTATTTCAATTTACCCTAATTAAATTTGTTAAAATAATGTAATAACCAGCCAAGTTTTAATATTAAAATTTTAATAAAGTAAACATGATTGTCAAATAAGCTAACCTCACCCCCCCCTTCCCCCTAGTCAACAATTAGTTAAACATTTCCACCATCCCCCCTATTTTGTTGACATAATTAATGGACGTACCATTAACTTAAATCTAGTTATTTTAATCCAAATCTTATTAATTTAAGCCAAAATTTATAACATTTAATCCATATCAACAGCTACAAGTCGGATGACCCACTTATATCGTTTAGCAATAAACTATTTGAGTACTACTTACTGGCCCTGATTGGCGTGGGAATTCCCGGAAATCTCCTCACGGCCATCACCTTGCAAACCATCCTCCCACTGAGCGTGTCTTCTCTTCTAGTGTCTGTGGTCGCCCTTTTCGACAGCCTGGCACTGATAGCAAAAGTCATCGAAAACCAGCTGCTGCTATACGACGTTGAGCTGAACACCTTCGCCTGCAACGCCCTCACGATGTTCTCTGTGTATCTCTCTACCGTGGCCAACTGGAGCCTTGTCTTACTGTGCATGGAGCAGTACATTGCGGTTGCCTATCCACTGAAAAAGGAACTGATGCTGACCAAGAGTAGGAGCTGCATCGTGTCCATCATCGTCTGCCTGGCCATGTTCATCGGTTTCGTTGTGGCGTATTTCCTGAATTCTGATTGGTTGATAGATGCACTTCCATGCTGGATGCGCACCGCGAAGACACTGCAGTCGTACCTGATCATAGAAAATCTCCACGTCTTTGCGCCGTACATTCTGGTCTTTGGTCTCGCTGTGTGCATTTATGTCGGGCACGCCAGCTTCTTAAAAAAGCACAATAAGATCGAACAAGAAAATCGCGTTGTTGAATCCGAAACTGGGCTGGCGAGCTCCTCGAAAGAAGTCGCTGAGGTTGACAAAATCTCGTTTGAGGAGAAGATGACGCTCGTCACTCTGACCAAAATTGCATCCGGGCTGTTCCTAGTTTTGGTCCTTCCCTATTTTGCATACGTCATAATTACATTGGTGAGCAGTGTCTACAGCATCTATTTCATCAATACGACCGACTGGATGTTGTTCACCCACATCCGGTCAGTGTTGCTGGACACAACGTATGCCATCAAATTTTTACTCTACTGTGTCTCGGGAACATTCAGGAAACATTTCAGACACAGAATTCTCTGGTGTTAACGCCAAAATGAAAAATGAACTTGAAATAAGTCTAAAATGTGTTCTAAACATGAATGTTTTTGGTTCGATGTCAATGAGTTTTCGTAATTGTGTTTTTATCTTCAGCAAAGATCATTTCGTACATTCTTTTAGTAGAGTGAGAAATGACCAAAAACCTAATGAACGATTCTTTTCATGAAAATTGTCTTGACCCCCCCCCCCTTTTTTTACAAAGATAATGAAATATAATAAAGTATATCTGTAAGTATGTGTTTGTGTGTGTGTAAGTAGGCACTTGGTGGGGCTGCTACCTGTGTTGCTACCTGTGCTGCTACCTGTGTTGCTACCTGTGTAAAGCGTCAACGTCCTGCTGCTGTGTATCTGCTGCTGTGTATCTGCTGCTGTGTATCTGCTGCTGTGTATTTCAATACTCTTGCTGTCATGCTATATTTGGAACTGCCTATGAGACAGTGAAGTAATTTTTTTTAATAAATATAGTTTCCTCATGAACACACAATTCTTTTCTACTAGGTGGATTTTCAAATTCGTCATTCGTCATTTATTTATTGAAAAATGTAAAAAAAAAAGCATTTACAGTCCCAAAAAAACTAGGATATTATTTATTGTATTCTATAAACAGAAGATCCGATTAGTTGAAGGCGATAGGTTTTCCTTGAATCAACATCGTAAGAAAAGGAAGGCGGCAACACAATGTCGTCTGCAGATCTGTTTTCCACTTAGAAGGGGGCAATATTAGGATATCTTCATGATTTATGAGAGCTTTGCTTGAATCAACATTGCATGTTAATCTGCAAAATCAATTTTAAAAATTACCCATAATTTAAAATTAAAAGTTTATTTAATGCTTTCCTACTACTGTGCTGTGTGTCTATGCTACATTTCTATGATGCACGTGCTTCAAAGTTGTATTACGTGATAAAATGGCTTACTTTTATAAATCACGTGTCAAGTTGTCTTTGTAAAAAAAAAATTGGTTGTTGTTTTCTTGTTCTTGTCGTTCTGTTCAAAAATTGATTCAGTCGAAGAATATATACATATATATATATATATATATATATATATATATATATAT